TAGTACAAAGACAGAGAGAGACAGAGAGAGACAGAGAGTGTATAATACAGTTTGGGCAGATATATTTATATATATATATATATATAATATTCTTATACGCATACTTTCAACTTCCCATGCAGTGGTGACATTCTCTCGTATGGCCACGGATACATTGCTCGATGTGCTTCCTCTTATACACATGAAAATAAAAATTTATTATGCATATCATATGCAACTGTAGGCTACAACAGTGGCCCGGGGCCACTTGCCGGCACACATAAGAATACAAAACTAAACAAATATAAATATTATGACTTTATTTTTTTATTTTAAAGACCGCCTTACATCCACATAAACCAACAAATTCAAAACGTTGCATGTCAACAACACATTCAAACTCTTTCATATCAACAACACATTCACATTTCTGCTACGTTAATACTTACACTCAAGCATTACACGTACATATGCTTCAATCTCATATTGATTACATTTCTTATTTAAGTTTACATTCTTATCACAACATACATAACCATATTTATTATAAGAAGTACTTCAATCGTAACGCTCGAACTAAACAAATATAAGTTCTCGCTTCCCATAACTATTTACCATCAACAAACATACATATTGTGGACTTTCGCATGGATATATTTTTTACCTCGGCCGAGTACCACCCACCTCAAACAAATGTTGCGCCTGCGTTTTGTATGACATCCTTCTTCTTCATGCCAATCATATCATTTTTCCCGACACTTTCTCCACTCGTCACCTCTCCACCGCGCCTGTTCAACTTTTTACACCCCGCAATCTTGTCCTCCTGTACTCGCACGTCAGTATATCTACACTCGCCTCCGCATGCTTCTTCCCCCTCACTTCTTCTCAAAACTTGCCAAATAGAAATGACAAATTGCGAATATTGATATTTCCTTGCAATTCCGAGCCTTCTTCGGTCTCACTCGCACGATTGTATACATCTGTTTTTCTTTCCTGTCCACGTCCACGTGTACCTTCCAAAAATCCCTCCATATTGTGGTCCTCTCCATCCTTCATCATTCTTCTGTCATGTACCTTCCCTCTCATACCAATTACATTCCTCACGCTCACATTCGGTACCTCATTGTTACTTGCTAAATCTGTTACTTTCTTTCCTCCGCCGTATCCTTCAACGTCTTCCCCCGCTCCTGCCACTTCATCATTTTTATTGCAGAACTCATACATCTCCTCTCCTTCGTCGGCCGGCTCCTCCTCCTCCTCTTCCCCCTCGTCCTCCTCCTCCTCCTCCTCCTCTTCTTCCCCATCCTCCTCCACTTCTAATTCCCCCTGTCCTCCTCCCTCTTCCTCCTCCTCTTTATCTCCTTTCGTTTTTTCTTCATCTCTCCTCTCCTCCTCCTCCTCTTCCACTTCCTCCGCTTCTTCTCCCTCCTCCTCCTCTTCTTCTTCTCCTTCCTCTTTTTTGCCCTCCTCCTCCTCCTCCTCCTCTTCTGCTCCCTCCTCTTCCTCGATCACCATCTCATCCTCATTGTTCTCCTCCACAATCTCTTCCTCCGGATTCTCCATTTCCTAAACTCCCTCGTTTGCCTCCTCACACCCCTCGTTCTCTACCTCCCCCGCCTCCTCTTCCTCCTCTGCAACCTCCCCCGACTCCTCTTCCTCCTCGACCTCCCCTACTTCTTCCTCATTCGCGACCTCCTTCTCCTCCTCCTCCTCCTCCTCCTCCTCCTCCTCCTCCTCGGCCAGCCCTTCAAAAGATCGTCGTCTTCGCGGATTATTACTTGCAGCACGTCTTCGTTTGCGGTTCCTTCCTCCCGTCAACGAACCTCGCATCAACTCTCTCGCTTTTCGAGTTGTTTTACCTGAATCCTCTTCTCGCTTCGACCGCTTTTTCTTAAACTCCCATGGTCGTTCCATCCCTTTCCATAAGTGTAAGTTCACAAGCTCAATGACATCCTCCGTGAAACTTAATTCTCGCTCCTGCTCAAACTTATTCACACACACGTTCAAAGACAAACTCTTGCAAAAGTTTCTCCACGTTTGAAACCACGAACTGCTGATAATGTCGAATGCTCTCTCACCCCTTTGCTGTGGGAATTCCGCAACGTCAAGTTTTTCGCCCATTTCCTTTCTCAGCTCCTCTGCAGCTTCTACTGCACCCCTCTAAACCTTGTGCAATTTTGTTCGCAAGCATAATGTAGGATGCACATACACAAATCCCCTCCTTACTAGCTTGCAGCCTACATCTATACATCTTCTTCCTCTATAAACATGCACATCTGCAACAACCCTCCCGAATCCGTCGTCGTAATATGTATCCAAGTAAACTTTCTCACCGGCTTGTCCCACGAAACCCGTATCCTCTATAATCTTCATGAATAATCTGTGAACATGCTTATTTTGTTCCTTTTCAATGCCATCAATATGGGCGATACGCACATGGAGCAGTCTATCAAGCATTCCATTGGGAAGGGGTGGATGAATTCTACCGCAATGTTCGCAGTTTGTCCCATCATGGTCGCCCCGAAAATTCAATTTCACTTGCATATCATCTAAATCGGTGAATTTCACCAACTCCCCGCATGCGCCCCCGGGCAAAGAGCAACAGAAATTCATACACGATCCATGGCCTTTTATCTCGTTGTATGTGCTCCTGATTACAGCCTTCAAAAAATCCGGCATTGCGCCCCATGCATCCTCTTTCCCCGCTACCACTTCCTCTACTTCCTCGGCAATGACTTTGCACACCGTCCTTCTCACGGAGGTGACTATTCCTTTTGCGTTTGGCACATGGTAATCACAACACTCTTTCGGTTCAGGATCCGTCTTCGCTGGGATTAATCTCAGGTAAGGATGTCTGCTACATATCTTGAATACGACCTGGTTCCGCCAAATGTTACTCAACTTTGACATTCTCATTGCAATTTTTTCTTGCGACTCCTCCCCCGAACCTTCCAATTTCTCGAAGAAAACTTTTGCTCCCTCTCCACTTTTGTCTCCCATCCAAAACCCTCCACGACAAATACGGTTGAGACTGTCTGTGTTCGTTTAATTTTTTCTCTACGTAAAAAGCAAAACGACCTTCCTCAAAATAATTCACCTCTTTAGAAATCTCGTTCTTAACGGGCAGCAGCACCTTCCACTGTGCCGAAAAATGATCAAGGTTGTTCAGCATCCCCTCTACTGTTGCACCTCTGCTCACCGCCGACACGACAGCCAATCTTGCAGCCGTTGTTGAGCTGCTGTACACATGAGGTTTCCATGTTACAGCGTGTTCGTGCAAACACGGACACGAACCATTGTAAACAGGAGGCATCTCCGCTTGAACGTTTGTGGGTAGCAGAGGCTCTAGCGAGACGTTCGACCTCCCTTCCCAGTTTTCTCTTCTTCTTCGGCTTCCCCTTTGCGTACGGTTTCCTTCCGTAGCAGGCACTCCCATCCTTTCACCTTCTCCTTCCCTGGCAGGTTCTCTTGCCACATTCCCTCCTCCTGCGACGGTATGTCGTCGTCTTGCGCTCCCTTCTCCTCTTCCTTGTCGGTTGCTCCCTTCCTCAATATTCCTCTGTCGATTACGTATTTCTACGCTCTCATTGTTCTCCGTATTCCTCGACCTCCCATGCTGCGTATCGTGTTCTGTTGCCAAGAGATCTTCTCTCTCCTCGCTCAATGATACGCTGCTCACTATCGGTTCCCAAATCTCGCAGACACGAATTGCAAACTCCTCGAACCTAATGGCAGTTAACCGAACAGTTGCCACACCGCCAGCAATGTCCGAGCCTGACAATAATACCCACTCCGTTTGTGAATCTTCCCCCCCCCCACCAAACCCACACAGACGACTACATGCAATTTCATATCTTCCGCATTCTCCTTTTTCATCTTCATCACTTCTTCTCTTATTTTCTCACAATCGTCATCAGCCGCCCCGTTTAATCCCCATGTAGGCAAACACCCGTTCTGGTTGTTCTCCTCCTCTACTGTGGCATTTGTAGCTTCCTCAACTATGACGTTTGGAGCCCCTTGCACTAAGCGCAGCACGACAATGACAGGTTTCCTATCTAAGCACCTCTCGGGGTTCAATGCGCCTCGAATTATTCCTTTAGCCGCTTTGTCGTCTATCGCACCGGCGTCTGCATAGACTCCTCCGTCTTCATTGTCGCGCAACGGGATCCGAAAACATGGCCACCAGTACAGATTCGCTTGAGCGCCGGTCTGCAACGATAACTTTTCAAGCGCTTCATATGCCACCTTGCCCACCTGTCCGACCGTTTTCCCGTCTGCCATCGTGGCATGACCTTTCGACAAATTGTGTAACCACCATGGGATAACTTTGTTCTCGCCTATTGTCGCCCACCGGATTATTTTTGAAATACTCGCACAAACGCTATAGCCCCCGACATCATTGCCATCCGATATGCCTATTATTATTTGATTAACAGCGACGCTCCGCTCTAAACTGCTGTAATGGTAATCCGTTATCCTTTCTAACGGTTGCACTCTTTGCGCCAGGCACGGTGATGCGTTCCACGCGCAAGGACGTGTGAACGTGCTATGCTTTTCTAGCCGGTCCATTGCTACTCCTGGGGAAAGCGTTGGTGCCAAATCCCATCCTTCATCGCCTGTCTTTTCTCTCCTCTCATCTTCCACCTCATTTTGCACTTTTTCACCCGTGGTCAACTCCTCGACCAGCATCAACACCGACGTAATGACTTCGGCAATATTGATTTCTCCGCTACGCATGTTAATGTGGTCTAAAAGCGTACGAAACATCATTAACGGATTTATTTGTTGCACTCCATCTCTTAGTTTCGTCAGCAATCTTCGATGCTTCGTATATGTAAACGGCTCTTTCCATAATTTTTCCATGACGTCTCGGTGTTAATTCATGTACTACTCGGCTGCAAATGAAAGTGGACATGACGATGCATAACACTTTTAAGTTCACATCGCATATAGCAAACCTTGTACAACAGGTCGTCATGGACTATTAACCACCGTCTTCATTTTTCGTACGTCGCGCATGACAAATCAAGGGGCCCTGCATCATTCTAACCCGCGGTTCACTTATGAAAACTAAAAATCATTTAACTTTTTTCCTAACCGTTGTTTTTTTAATACCTTTCACCTCTCACAGTACTCTACAGTGATGGGGCCGAAAAACTAAAAATCATTTAAATATTTTTTTTTTTTTTTTTTTTTTAATATATGTCGACTCTCACAGTACTCTACTGTGGTGGGGCCGAACACGAGGATAGTTCTTAACTTACAAAGGAATATATATATATATATACATACATATACATATGTATATATATAACAGGTAAAACAGGTTTAAATAATATATAACACACCGTGAAATCTTCGTATGTGCTACAACCCCAATATGTGTTTAATACGCATACAATATTGTCGTCAACAACACATGCACATTAACGACCCAAACCTTACAGAACTTACCTGAAAGACTCTAATAACCGTCTATACAAAATATTACGAATTTCGACATTCTTATTAGTGGGTATGCGCCTTCCCTCCCAATCCTTGTATCGCACACGTCCTTTGTTGGACCCTTTTTTTGCGACCTTAAACCTGATCAACCGTTCGTATCTGTCAAAGAAAAGGGCCTCGCATCTGTGGGGAGGTGCATGGCCTCTCTCCAAGCAATACCAACAAAACCTCGTCTCCCACCACTTCTCTCTCTTCAGATCCCGATTGCTCTTTTGTCGCTTGGCTTTCCTTCCATTTTCACCTCCTTCCTCTTCCACTTCCACCTCTTCCACCACTCGTTTTCTCTTGAACGCGTCCGTTATTAGGATTCGCTTATCCATAACTGCAAGCTCTCTCTTCATTCTTTTAACTTCTCCTTCCATTTCTTTCATCTTTCCTTCCATTTCCTTCATCTTCCCCTCCATTACCGAAATTTTTTGTTTAAACTCTTTCTCCATCAGTTTCATTTTACCCTCTTGCAACTGTTGCAACTTCTCCCCTTTAACTTCTCCTTCCACTTTCTTCATCTTTCCTTTCATTCCCTTCATCTTCCCCTCCATTACCGAAATTTTCTATTCAAACTCTTTCTCCATCACTTTCATTTTACCCTCTTGCAACTGTAGCAACTCCTTCTCCCTCTCCTTTCCATCACTTTTCAGTTCATCCAGTTTTTTTTCTTGTCTCCCCTACACCGCCTCCAATTCTTCCTTGGATAAAGCCATTATTTCCTCTACTTTTTTCTTTGCAATTGCGCCCAACTTCTGCACCTGTTTTTTCGATTTTTTCTCAAAATCCTCAAACAGTTCTTTATAAATGTCTTTCACCCTTTTTAGCTCAGATTCCCAACTCCTTTCCAGATTTGCCAATCGCACCTTCACATCTTCATTGCCCAATCCTCCTCTTCCTCCCCGCCCCCCCCCCCCCCCCCCCCCCCCCCCCCCCCCTGCTATGGCACCAGTCGTGCAACTGCACTCATCTAGTTTCCTTCTTTTTTTTGTCCCTCCCCCCTACCTACTGCTGCAGCGGTAGAGGTCACTATTGCACGTGACATCTCCCTGCAAATAAAAAATGCAAAGCAGAAACATAAAATAACAAACATGACAATCTCACGTATAAAAGGTTAACCCCCCACCCCCCCCCCCCCCCCAAAAAAAAAAAAGCATAAACATAAAACAACTAACATGACAATTTGAAGTATAAAACATTACAAAAGAACAAAGTCAAACATATTACATGACACTATTTTCAATCAATGCACATAACCTATCTAGTGTTATTTTCAAACAGATAGATCTAGTGTTTTTTTCAAACAGATAGATCTGCTCGAAAATGCCAACAATTACATGTTCTACAGTAGTGCACAGAACCTAAGCGTAAACTCACATCTCTTACAGCTTCAATACATGTTTCAACCATATTCCGTATATGTCCTCCAACTTTCTCTAAAAACGTTTCTTGAATACATGGATTATCAACGTCAGTTAAACCTTCCTCGTCGAATATTGTCCTTACCCACTTCACCATTTCTACCGCTCGCCCATGCAAACCTATTCTCATACTATGAACTTCGCATCTTCGCCATCTTACTATGTCTGCTGATGTTGCGGGAACTTTCCATAACCGTCTCAGCAAAAACTCTAAAACTTCAGGCCACCAACACATAGTTAAAGAAGTTGCTTTGTGCGCCATAAACCTTCTCAACATATTCAAACATCCCTTAGGATTCAATTGTACCCACAATAAAGATCAACGCTCCTCTCCGTCCATTAGCGCTCTACCCGTCCTGCAAACAAATATATAATAAATTTCCCAAACCCATACCTTCTATTTTATAAAAATAAATAAAAATCATTAATGATATGAGATACGTCTATCTGACTCTCTCTCTCTCTCTCTCTCTCTCTCTCTCTGAGAGAGAGAGAGAGAGAAGGAAAAAAAAAAAAA